GTCTTGTGGCAGAGTCCTGGTTTGCCAGGAGCAGCGCGCTGTTGCCATGTGAGGGCAAGGAGGAAGGCACAGAGCCTCTCCTGGCATCCCCAGCCTTGTCCTGAAGTCCCACTGTGGCTTCCAGGAGCCACGGGGCTGTTTTACCTGGGTGTTGCACCCACAGCTGCAACCTGCCGTGGGTGCTGTGCACAGCTCTCTGGGCGCTGAGCTGCCTACCAGGCAGGGCTGCCCGGTGGGATGGAAAGGCTGACCTTTCTCTTTGTCTGCTGCTGAGGGGCTACAGAGCAATTAGCAGCTTTTGGGAAAGTATTCTGAATTTGGGGGGAGCGAGAATTGCTCTCACGGCAGCTCAGACAGAGCAAGAGCTGGGTGGGGAGCTGTGTCCCACTGAGCAGGAGGTTCACCTGAACCAGGCTCAGGCCTGACTTTGTGCTGTCTTTCTCCTTTTTGATGGCCCACGGCGGTTGTCAGGTTACGAGAGGTACAATGCCATGCGGGCCGACCCGGCGCTGTGCTTTCTGGAGAAGGTGGGCATGCCGGATGAGAAGCTGCTCTCTGCGGAGCAGGGCGTCAGCGATGGGGCCCAGGATGCTGCCGAAAGGTGGGCAGGGGATGGAGCCAAGCTCTCGGGGGCTGTCTGGCTCACTCCTGGGGGCCATGTTAGCAGCGGGGCAGTGCTGTGGGATGCGCTGTGCACAGGGAGGAGGAAGGAAGCGGACTGTGCGACTGAACACAGCGGGCAGGGGGGAAGGCAGGAGAGAAGGCAGAGGGGAGCTGGCTCCCCAGTATGAGGCAGAGGGATGGCATGAGCACCAATTCTCTGCTCCCGCCTGCCGATGGCTGGAACAGCCAAGGGAGCTGTGCTGCCACTGCCGGGGACTCATTTGCTCTCTTACCCAGGGGCAGCATGGACAAAGAAGAGAGCGGTGGAGAAAAGCTGGAGGGGCTGCCAAAGCAGGAGGTGAGTGGGATTCATGGTGATCGATGCACGTCTGTTGCTGCCAGGCCTGCTCTCCCGCCCTGTGCTGCAGGTTTGGCTCCGTCAGCTCTGCTGCGGGGCACCAGGGAACCAGCGCTGCCGGTGACCCTGCTCTGTGCCGGCTTTGCCGTGCCGTGCACCTGCCCCACACTGTCTGCATCGCCTCTGCTTGCTGGAGCACAGCTGCTGCTGCTGCCTCTGTGTGTTTCCTGCGGACATGGGCAGCATCCGCCTCATGGGGAGCTGACGGGGACTGAGGGCTGGGGACGGCCAGGGGTGCTGGCTCTCACACTTGGCTTCAGAAACCACTCCTTGCCTCCTGGCAAAGGAGTCGGGGGGCATCCCAAAAGAAAAGGCCCTGGGGGAGAGGAAGAGCAGTGAATGAGGCAGCACGGGAGGGTGCAGGGTTCATTTGAGCTGCGGAGGCTGTCACTGCAGTGGACCCAAAATGGACAGCGCTGCCCCTCTGAGCTGTCCCCTCCCCTGTGCGTGCTGCTCCCTGTGTGGAGGGCAGCCAGTGACTGCAGCCCGAGGGCATGCGACATGGTACATGCAGGTACATGGGCTGCTGTGTGGGGCTGGAGAGCCCTCCCTGATGGTTTCCTTCTGCAGGATGTCGTGGCCGCTGGGGTGGGCGAAGCCAGTGAGAAGCGGGACGAGGCAGCGGCAGGTGAGGCTGTATCTCCCGCAGCGCGGTGCGTGGCTTCCCAGGGTCTGGCACGGCACAGCCAGAGCCAGAGCGCTGAGGCAGGCACTGCTGGGTGGAGGCACACACTGCTGGGCTGGGGGGATGCACTGCTCTGTGTTAGCAGGTGAGGTAGCTTAACCTGAGCAGGCTCCTGTCGGGGACCCTCCCGTGCAGTCACATGTGACCCAGCGACGGGCCCTGTGGCAGGACGGGCAGGGTCCCGAAAAAGAATGTTTCCAGCCAAAGCCAGCCAGGGGTGACTAGAAGCCGTTAGCCTGCCCGTGTCCATGCGGTTGCCTGCATGAGATGAGCGTGCAGGGTCTCTGCAGTGGGCGGTGCTGGCAGATGCCATGGGCTGGCTGGCCCCGCTGCTGAGCAGGGAGCTGCAGTCCTCTCCCATGCATGGCCTGGCCCAGAGGCATCATTCCTACCCGGATCTCTGCCTCTGGGCTCTCTCTGAGGGTAGCTCAGACATGGTGAGGCTGTGAACCAGCAGCTTTTGGGGTGCGGAGGCCCCGGGATGGTCACCACAGTCCCCCACTCGTGACTGTGATCCCTGGTGTCCCCTGCGGGAGGGGGAAGGTGGGAGGGAGCTCTCTGAGCCGGATGGAGGGACGCGGGAACCTGTGGCTTTGCGTGCATTAAATACTAATGTCCTTGCTGATGTTTGAAGCCCAGGATGGCTCCGACTCAGACAGATCCTGCTGGCCTGTCTCATCTGCCCTCACAGCCAGACTGCGGAGGCTCGTCACCGTCTACCAGCGCTGCAATCGCAAAGAGCTGCCTCCCCGCGCCGAGATGCTGGTGCCTGGTAACCATGGATACTGGCTGCAGGACGAGATGTTCAGGAGAGCCTCTGAGATGGACTCGGTGAACAAAGAAATGCAGAAAAGGTAACGCAGCAGAGGGTCCTTTCCGCAGCTGATTTAGGCCAGTTGAAATCCTTGTCCCCCCGGATTTACCCAGGTAAATGTCACCACGGCTGTTCGCGCAGGCAGCTGCCCACGTGACGGTGGCGTGTGGGTCCTGGCTGGGCAGGGAACGCTGCTCCCAGCCCTGAGGGGGCCTTGTGGTGCCCAACCAGCCCGGCCAGGTGCAGCCTCCACTGAGGTTTGCAAGTAGCAGCTGGTGACACAGTGAAAGGAAGGAAGGGGACAGCTCTTCAGGGTCAAATCCAGCATCTGCTGAGCCAGGGATCGCCCCCAGTGCCAGCAGAGCGGGTGCTGCTGAGCAGTGGTGTGCACTTGGGACACACCGTGGGTGAGGGGTGACGGATGAGCGCTGCACAGCCCACACGTGTAGCCTTTCCCACCCTCGCAGCTCACACTGCTGCGTTGGCCTCCTGCTCTTGGCCTCTGGAGCGCAATGGTGGCATGTCCTGTGTGCGGTGTGCTCCCTTTTTGTTTGCATCCCAGTAAGTGGAAGGATGGTGGGACCATCCTGGCACCCTGAGTGGCTCTCTGCAGAAACCGAGGAGGGTGTGCGGCAGGGCGATGCTGCCTCCATCGCTGCCAGTCCCTACGCACAGCACTGGGACTTCCTCAGTGGTCAACAGTCCTCAGCGGCTCTGTCTCCTGTGCTGCCCTGCACTCTCTGGTCACGGCCTCCTTCTATGGAAGCCCACTGATCTTCCCTCCCCCCTTCCTCTGGACCTCTTCCAGTTGTACTGTCTCCTCTTCAAGGTGGGGGCATCAGTGGTTGTGCTGTGGCCACCACAGCAGCCTGGTATTTCCTTCTCTTTAATTCCATGGGCTTTTTTTTTGGGAGGTCTCCTTGCAGCAGTGTCCTAGGCGGTTTCCCACCAGCCTTCAATTTGAGGCCTTTCACCAAACTGCCTGTTGGGCTCCTTGATTTGGATTATTGATTTTTTTATCAGCTTTCTTCTTGTTACTCTTCTTTTTGGAATGCAATATCACTGCAGAGGACTCACACAGGGGTGCAGGAGTGGAAATGCTGGTCTAGGTGTACTTTGGTCAGTTGGGGAGTGCTGTGGGTGCTGTCACCCTGTCTGCTCTCCCTTGACTTGTCCCAGCTGCTTGCTGGTGGTGGCCCAGAGCTGCAGTTCAGAGGAGCTGAGATTTGACTTTGAGCTTTCTTCAGCCCACAGCACTCACCTTTCTCTGCCGTGACCTGCTCCTGCGCTTGCCCCGCAGTTTGCACCCTGCTCTGTTCTCCATGGCCTGTTTTTCTGTGCCCTGTTTGCCCAGGGCTGTATTTGCCCAGATCCTGGATCGCTCCTTGGAGCGATCCCCACGAGGGGAAAGCTCAGAGGGTCCAAGCCAGAGTGAAAGTTGTGCTCTGACAGTGCTGTAACTGAAACCCCCCATCACCACGGCTGCTTTCCCTCAGTGGGAGGAGGTGACACCCACCTCTGGCACCCCGGAGTCCACAGGAGTCAGCAGAGTGGGTGGCGTTTGTTACTGGGACCCTTACGGCAACAAACCCTAGTTCCAGTTTCCCTCTGGAAGAGGCTGGATGAGAGCTGTGTCTGCAGGACCTTCCTTTCTAATTCCTGGTACATAGAGTTGGTCTTTCCGTGGAGGTGACGAGACAACTCCATGTGGCGGGAAGCGAGTCGATGAGATAGGTTTGTGCCTCCAGAGAAGCTGCTGGAGCTTGCGCCCTATCGGCAGCACAGCCAGGAGCTGCACTTAGTGCTTTTTCAAACAGCCAAGAGTGTTTTTTCAACGGTGAGCCAAGAGCCCATGGCCCGTGGCCTTCACTCCTCCTCACTCTGCACCGTAAGGCAGAGGATCTTGGGATGTGGTGGTCTCCCCCGTGTGCTCCTCCTGGCCGTTACTGGTGGGCAGTAACTAGGTAGTCCTCTCTGCCTGGTGCCTTTCCCATGCTGGGACCAGAACGTGTCTCAGTGGTGTTCGTGTCTCCTCCCTGCCCCACAGGTGGACCAGGAGGGAGCAGGCAGATTTCTACCGCACTGTCTCCTCCTTTGGGGTTATCTATGACCAGGAGAAAAAGATCTTTGACTGGGCCCAGTTCCGAGCCATCTCTCGACTGGAGAAGAAGACAGATGAGAGCCTGGAGAAGTACTTCTACAGCTTCGTGGCCATGTGCAAGAATGTCTGTGGTCTCCCACTGTGGAAAGAGGACGGTGAGTGGAAATTGCCTGGCCTATGGCAGGGGAAACAGTAGGTCCATGTAGCCATGGGTCAGAAATGGTCCCACTGCTCTCGTGGAGCAGGAAAGCAAGGGATGAGTTTCAGGGACAGCTGGAGGCAGCGAGACGCCAGGCAGGCTGTGGGCTGGCAGAAGCCACGTGCATTTCTGGCTGCCTTGTCACCACCATGTACCACCTCCCAGCACAACAAGACGGTAGGGCAGCCCTGCGCGCTCCAGTCCCTGCCCTCACAGATCTCATGGAGCCCTCCCATGAAAACACAACCAATTTTATCCAAGACAGCTACCTCTAGATGTGAGGGAGAAGTAGAGAAGCAGCAGGTCACTCCTCCTCCACACTGGGGCTGGGGGTTGTTTGGGCAATCTGTATCGCTGCTTTCCTTCCGAGCATCTCTGCTGGCACTGGACAGAGTCTGCACAGTGCCCGTGCCGTGGCGTAGCTAGACTAGAGAGATCTGGTGCCGGGTGAAGGGAGTCTGAACCCACTGCAGGAGGCTTGGGAAGCCTGGCCAACACACAGGGCATCCCAGAGTGCCCTGCAGAGCCCCGGTGCATTGGCACCATGCAGGACATGGTGGATGAAAAGCTGCTTGGGGGCTGTTTAAGCACAAAGCAATTTGCTTCTAACGAAAGGATTTCGTCTCAGACCTGTGAGGAGGTCTGGTCTCAGGCGCAGTTCCTTGGATGCGTGTGTTAATGCCTTAGGTGGGTGTTCCTCATCAGAAGAGCTGCACAAGTTGAGGGACTCCCTTCCCTGAGAACCTCTTGAAGGGCTACCAGAGGCTCAGACCCCAGGGAGCCGCTCCACCAGCAGGTCCAGGCAGCTCCCGCACTGCTGGCAGTGATGGAACAGAGCTCAGACAAGACTCCGAATTCCTCTGCAGCCAAGTGCTGCTCTTGGTCCAGACTTAAGACTCGCCTTGCTCATCACCGCCTCCAAGTGACTCTCATCAATCTGTATAACAAGCCCTTGGCTTTTCTGTCCCTGCTGTAGGTCCCCCAGACCCTGACATCTACGTGGAGCCCATCACGGAGGAACGTGCCGCCAGAACCCTCTACCGTATCGAGCTTCTGCGAAAGGTGCGCGAGCAGGTGCTCAAGTGTCCGCAGCTCCACGAGCGGCTCAAGCTGTGCCGGCCGAGCCTCTACCTGCCGGTGTGGTGGGAGTGTGCCAAACATGATCGAGACCTGCTGATCGGCACCGCCAAGCATGGCCTGAATCGCACTGACTACTACATCATGAATGACCCCCAGCTGTCTTTTTTAGATGCGTACAGGAACTATGCCCAGCATAAAAGAACGGGGCTCCCAGGCCCAGAAACCCTGTGCTGCCTTTACCAGACTAACTCCAAACTCTACAGTTCCCCTCTGTACAGCCAGGTGGACCGGACCTGTGAATCCCTGGAGAACGAAGCCGAGAGTCAGATCAAACTAGAAACCATAGACAGCACTATGTCCCAGGCTGGGGGCAGTCCGCCGGATGCAAACTGTGAAACATTCATGTCTAAAGTCCGGGACATCATTTCCAGTAACTATGATGAGAGCTCTTTGCCGGACTCGTTGGTGTGCATGATGTACGATGAGAAGGCCTGTAACAGTGAGCAAAGCTCCCTTGCCCGAGACAGCCCCAGTTGCACAGATGTTGGAAGCAGCGTTGCTAAACTCTCCGAGGGCAAACTAGAGGGAGACGAGGATCCGTCCAGCTGCGATGCAGATGCCATGAGAGAGACTCCCTTCCTAGAGGGTTTGCAGGTGGGCTGTGACCGAACAGACAGTCAGAACGAGGAAGCTGAGCCTTCGCCTTCTACCCCTGAAAGCGACCCTTCGCGGAGCGCCCCAGCAGAGCTCTGCGAAGCCTTGCAGCAGAAGGGAGACCTCACCAGACCTGCGCCAGTGCTGCCTGAGCACGGTGCCATGGAAGGGGTCTTAAGCGTGGGGCTCTACAGTCCCGGTCTTCATAACTATGAAATAAAGGTTCCTCCTGAGCAGAGATTCATCAGTCTGCTGCAGGAGAAAGGAATGGAGGCAAAGTCAGGGCCAAGTCAGAGCCACAGCGAGGAAGATGAGGAGGAAGAAGACGACGATGATAACTCTGAGGCAGCAGCAGATGTTGTGGAAGGCATGAGTGGTCCCAGGACCAGGGCCGGTTGTGACCCCGAGGCCAGTGAACTGGGGGGTGAGGAGCAGAGCTCTGGCCTCCCCACACCCGAGGACACTTGCCCAGAAGATGTGAATGGCGAGAGAGAGTCCCTGGGGCTGAGGACAGCTGAAGGGCTGGGGGAGCCTGGGCCAGAGGGCAGGGAGGACCGTGGCCTGGATGAGGAAAGCACCCTGCAGCACTCACCGGGCCAGGCTCAGAGCCAGGCTTTCAGCCTGCCTGCACCTCTGCTGGGGGCCCCAGGGGCAGAGCCCCCCCGTGCTGGGGGGGAGGCCTGGGGCCGCGGGGCCGAGGGGCAGTCAGGCTGCAGAGTCACCCTGCACCCCGAGCCCCAGGGGGTGAAGCAAGAAGAGCGTGAGAACAGAGATGAGGAGAAAGCCAGCAGCAGCCAGAGTCAAGGTACGGTCTTGAGAGCTCCCGCTGGTCGACAGTCACCTCTGGCTGGGGTGGGAGGGACCTGCAGAGCCAAAGCCTTGGGGCTGCCGAGCCCCCAGAGCGGCCTCCCCTCTGCAGGATTGGGGTCCCTCTAGCTGATGTGATTGGGGGACAAAGGGTTGGTGGCTGCATTTGCCAGCAGAGCTGGCCAGGACCCCACACACTGAGCCCCAGCAGCCCTTCTGCCATGAGCTGCCCATGGAACGCAGGACGTCCTTCCCTTCCTGGCACAGGGTGCTGCCCGGCGAGCAGCTCCTTTGGGAAAGGCATGTGCCCTCCTCCTCCCCGCCCGGGCTATGGCATTGTAGGAGTGGGGGCCACTGCAATACAAGCCCCCCAAACAGCCCAGGGGAGCGCAGGCCCTTCCTGAGCAGCATGGGGCACTTGCCGTGTCCCAGGGCTGCTGCGTTTCTTGGTGGCGGGCTGGGGAAGGGGACCCTTGTGGAGCAGCTGAGCGCTGGGGTGGGAAGGTGTGAGGAGTTGCTCCCGCCTCAATAGGGCGAGAGAGGCAGGGCGGTGATGGGCTCCGTTCTCTGTGGCTTTCTCAGACGGTCCAGAGAAGTACCCGGAGGAGGAGAGCAAGAGTTCTGCTTCCGTCCTGCCTGGGGAGATCGATGACCTTCAGGATGCCCGGGCACCGACCATAGCCCAGCTGCTGCAGGAGAAGACACTTTACTCCTTCTCTGAGTGGCCTAAGGTGAGTTCAAAATGAACACTGTTTGCAGTACAAATGTCACTGTGTAGTCCTGACCAGCAGTGGCTGACACAGCCCCAGCTCTGCCTCCTGGTCCTCCGCACACAGCTCCCCACGGATGCTCCAACAGGGTTCTCTTCCCAAGCACCCGTGCTGAGGACACGCCTGCCCCAGAGCAGTCCTCCGCCGAGCTGAGGTCACCAGGGCTGGGTTTGTCTTTAATCCTGAGATGACAAACACGAGTCAGTCATTTGAGTCCCAGCCTGCCACTGTCCAATTCTGTTTGCAGGACCGTGTGATCATCAACCGCATTGACAACATCTGCCATGCCATCCTGAAGGGCAAGTGGCCTTCCTCCAGCCAGCAGTTTGAGACACAAAGCCTGCTGACGGCTCCAGCGGTAGCCAGCAATGCCGGCAGCAGGAACAGCTTTGCCGAGTCAGAAGCCGCCGATCCCAGCTTCAATAACGGGGTGTTAATCTCACAGGTACAAAAGGTGAGGGGGGCCGCTGGGCAGGGACAGGCTCGGGACTCTGGGCTGAAGCATTGCCCCGAAGTGCTCAGGAGCTGCCCAAGCGGGGCCTGGGCTTTCACTGCCTCTTGGTGTCACTCATGGTGTATAACACACGGCTAAAGCCACTCGGTGCCCCCCACTGAGGGCTCCTGCTGAGCTCCCCGTGCCCTAAGCCCCCACCAGCCCTGCTCCCCTCCTGGGAAGGTGGCTGTTCTGCCACCGCCCCGCAGCTCCTGTGGCTGTAGTGGTGCTTCCAGAGTCAGGGCTGGAGCAGCTGGCGTGGTCAGGGGGAAAAGGGGACGTTGCTTCTGGTGTCCCGAAGGGAAGGGTGCAGGAGAGGGCACTGTCCCATCAGTCACCAGCTCTCTCTCATCTCCTCTCGCTATTGGACACAGCACAGAGACAGAAGCTGCTGGCTTGGGACCCCAGCCCGGCTGCCCACCGGCTGGCAGAGCACCCAGGGTTATAGCACCTTGGGAGATCAAAGTGTGAGGATGCTCCTGCACCATCCCCACATGGGGAAAGAGAGGTGTGATGTTCCCAGGGAAAGGGCATCCTTCAAGGCTCCTGCGGAGAGGCAGAAGAACCTGACCGTTAGCTCAGTGATCGTTTGAAGGCCTGTGGTCCCTGGGCAGCGCGTGAGCAGCCGTAACCCTCTCCGTGGCTTTGATACACACAGGAAGGTTTCCTGACCCCTGCCTTCGCAAAGGAGGAGCGGAAGCACAGACGGCCCTATGAATTTGAGATGGAGAGAGACGCCAAACAGCGGAGCTTGGAGCAGCTAGCAGCAACCCATGTTCATCCACTGGCTGGCGAGACGCGGCGGTGGACTTGTCCAGAGCCTCTGATGGGTCCCCAGGGAACTCCTCTCCTTTCCCCCTGAACACAAACATGCCCAAGCTGGGGACCGTGAACACCCTCCAGGGCTCCCTGGGCATGGACTTGTCTGGCATCCTCCAGGCAGGGTTAATCCATCCTGTCACGGGACAAATTGTAAACGGCAGCCTCCGAAGAGACGATGCTGCCATGAGGAGGAGACGGGGCAGGAGAAAAAATGTAGAAGGGATGGACCTCATCTTCTTGAAGGAGAGGCCTCTTCCAACCAGGCTGCAGGTGGGTTGATGCTCCCCTCTTTCACATGGCCCCGGTGGAGTCAGCACGACTTGTCTCAGGGTCCAGCTCTCCCCTACAAGCTCTACTGCCCCGACAAAGCGGGACCTCCTCCAGGACAGCTCAGCTTGTGCTGGAGCAGGCAGGAGCAGAGAGTACTCCAGGGAGGAAGGGAAGTTTTCCCTCCGGCTTGCAGCACTCTGCCTGGAGCGTTTGAGTCCTGCTAAGCGTTATCAAAAGCAGCTGTCCCACCTCAGGGGGTGTCTAGGGTTAGAGAACATGAGGAAAGGTCCTTGACTGCAGTGGAGCTGTGGCCAAGAGCCTACTGCACCCTTTCTCCTCCCCTGAGATCCACTCAAAGAAGAGCGGGGCTCTGGGAGCAAGACCAGTCCCTGTAGACCACTTGTAGGAGGGATCTGGGGGAAGGTGGTCCTCCTGATGATTTCCAGATGAGTTCAGAAGCATGTCCCAGCTCTCTGCCCTCCATGCCACCAGTGCTGGGGACAGAGGGGGAGCGTAATGCAGTGGCGGGTGGTGATGTAAGGAACAGGCACTGCGAGTATGCGGATTCATCTGTGTGATTGGGAACAGATGACCTGCTTTGGGAGCTCTGCTTATCTGGGTGCGCGTGCATCACCACGTGCTGCTGACGGGCTCTCCCTGCTCCTCCCTTCACGACAGGATGTGCAGGAAGACCAGCCACAGCCCCCCCAGACCAGTCCCCTCCCCGATGGGCCGGTTGCTGCTACCTCAACTCCACAGCCAGTCCCAGCTGTGGGCAGCCAGGCAGAGAAGGCTGTCCCGAATAAGAGTCTCCTCGACTGGCTCCGTCAGCAGTCCGACTACACACTCGACGTTCCCGGCTTTGGCACAGTAAGGGTGGCCTTCGGTGGCGCGCGCGCATGTGCGTGTGTGTGTGAGAGTGTGTGAGAGTGTGTGTGTCTGCCTTGTGTGTTGCCCTGTGTATCAGGTTTTCTGCGGTTGCTCTTGAGTTCAGGGCTTCCACGAAATGTCTGCGAATGCAGCTTTTTTCCCTGTACCATGGCTTGTGGGGTTCACCAGGGCTGTTTGGGAGGTTCATCACACGTCTGGAGGTGGGCATGGTGCAGCAGCGAAAGGCACTTGCTGAGCTGCGTCCTCCTGCCCCAAGATCTGTTCTCCAGCTCCAGTGCCTCCGTGTGCCCCATGCAGAATTAGTCCAATGTCTTCCAGAAGCGCCAGGGATGGGGAGAGAAATGGGAAAAGGGATTTGGGATGCTCAAGGTCCGTCTGTGTTGCTCCTTTTCACCTACAAGCTTTACTTGGGGTCATTTTGGGCAGTGCTGTTTTATTAAATAAGGTTCCCAGACAAGAGGAATCCTCGCTTTAAAAACTGGATGGGAGCAGCTGTGTTGCAGGCTGCAAAGGCTGCGGTTGCGTGGCCGCGGGTGCTGTCAGAAGGCAGAGTGGCAGAGGGTAGGGTGCAGAGTCTGATTCTTCTTGCCGTCTCACAAGCACCCACCTCTCGCTTTCGCAGGTTGGTTTGCTCCCGGTTTCAGCTTATTTAGCCTATTAGCCCGTGTGGTAGGCAGAGCACAGGCTGTAAAACAGAGTAGGAAGGAATGTGGTGTTAATACATAAAAGACTGTGCGTCTTGGTCCTGGAGGGTTTTGTGCCTGAGGCTGGGATTCCCTGGAGCCTGGAGTACGCAGGCAAGCCATTAGTGTTTTGGAGCTCGTTAGAGATGATGAGGAGCCCAGCATTTGCTGGGGCAGGATGGCCCCTGCTTTCCGGAGTCCAGAGACACGTGCAGCTCTGTGCCCGAGGCCGGACTCCCAGGAGCGCTGCCAGGAGCAGTCACACGGTGGAGCAGGAGTGGAGGTGCCTTCCCACTCCTTTCCATCGCTCTCCCATGGGGGCTAACTGGAACTCGTCCAGGCTGGCCGTGCTGCTGGTGAACCTCTTGCTCCTGGCAAGCCCACAGTGCCCTGGGCCAGCCCAGCAGGACCTCCCGTGTCAGGTGGCAGGGCGGGCGGCCTCTCTCCGGGTGGGATGGCACCTTGGGGTGCCGCAGCAACGCAGCTTCTTGAAGGACAGACCAAGCGCAGGGTCTTTTCTTTGACTCTCAGGAATCAGAGCCTGCAGTAGTTGGTCGTCATGCTACATCCCTGCGGGCACATTGGTGCCGGGACTCGGTGCCCGCAGTGGGTGTGCGACAGCTCAGCCGTAGCTCTGCAAGTTGTGGTCCTGAACGGCTCTGAGCCCCAAGCAGCATGGTGCAGCAGCTCTGCGGTGGGAACAGCTGAAACGGGAGCGAAAACACAGCCCAGATGAGCTGGCGAGAAGTGGGTAGCTATGTCAGACTGACAGGAGATGGCACACGCAGACCTGTTCTCTCCTTTTTTCCTACTTGTAGTTAGCGCCCTGTTTACAGTCGCGCATGTATGAATTGGCAGCAGGTTACAGCTTTAGGATTGGAGGGAAAGTAGAAAGGGCTGGAGCAGTCTAAGTGGGGTACACTGAAAACCCCTTTATACCTACAAAAATCAATCGTGCTCATTCGAGAGCCGGCCCTGTGGCAGAGACCAGCTTGTGCCACTCGCGCCGCTCCCGCCCAAGTCCACAGGACCCTCTGTCCCTCAGGAGCTCATCTGTGCTGCTCTCCTGCAGGGCTTCTAGCCGTCCAGGCTCGTTAAGCCATCTAGTCTCATTAACGTTGTCTTGTTTGCACTCCAGAGTTTTTCAGACAAGCCCAAGCAGAGGAGGCAACGCTGCAAGGACCCCAGCAAATTGGACATTAACTCACTCACGGGAGAGGAGCGGGTGCCTGTGGTACATAAGGGTACCGGACGGCGGGTAAGCGAAGGCCTGTTCTGTGCTCTGCCCTCGGTGTCTTGAAATGCTTGGCAGGCCCCGAGCTCACCTGGGGGAGATTTAATCCAGAGAAGCCTATGGCTGGGACAAAAGTCCGGAACACGACACTGATCTGCACTATTCGTGTGTGCCCGAGGGGACACAGACCTGCGAAATAAGTGACTTTCGGTGCGAAGCAAGGGAAGTCTGAGTGTTCCCCCTTGCCAGGATACACAGACAATGGCAAAGGGATTCAGCCTTTGGCTTTAAAGCCACCATCCGCACAGCCCTGGCTGGTGCTTCCCGTTCCAGATTTGATTGTTCCCCTTGAATTCACCGCAATATGCCACAAATTGCAATATTGCCACGCAGATATCTTTGGTTTGTTCCTCCTTATGAGGCGCAGGCAGAGCATGCCGACACCCATCCAGGTGCAGGGCATGCGGGAAGCGGAGGGTTTGAAGGGCTTTGTCTTGTATCCAGGTGCAGGGCATGTGGGAAGCGGAGGGTTTGAAGGGCTTTGTCTTGTTACAGAGCAAGAAGCATGGATTTACTTGTCTGCGGTTTAATCTCCAGTGCACTGATGTTCACCTCTGTGAACGAGAAGGGACGTTCAGGGATACTTCCCACCCAAATTCAGTTCTTAAATGCACCCAGAACTGCACTAGGTCAGAAGGTGATCTGACATTTATCACACCCAAAACCAAAACTAAAGAGCGAGGCAGAAAGAGGCTGTTCCAGCCACATCTGTGTTTCCCTCTGTTACACCCACGATGGCCGTTGGAGACCTGGGTGAATTGGGGGGTTTGTCCGGTTCTGAGCTTGGCTTTTACAGAAGCTCTGTCCCCATCGCTTGTTCACGGGGAGGGCGATGGGACGGGCCACAGAGGCTGAATTTGCCCTTTCTCCCTGAACTGTGTGTCTGGAGTCAGCAGGCGCATACCGAGTCCCGCAAAGACGTGTAGCCAGGGAAGAGTCTCTGCCCCGGCCAAATTGCGGCCCAAAGCAAGGAGCTAGGGGAAGTGTAATCGTGTTTCTTGTATTATTTCATATAACTCTTTCTGCAATAGAGGTCATCCTTCTGCTGTGTTTTATAGTTAGGGGGAGCCACGGCACCAGCATTGAAGGAATTGCCAAGGTGGCTTGATGCAAACTTGGAGTATGCTGTTGCAGCTGACTGGGCTGACATTGTTAAGCTTTCAGTAAGTTAGAGCTTTTGGAGAAATCTGTATCATGTCATCTTTTCTTTCCCCTCCCCATCCCACAACCTTTCTCCAGTGAGGATCTGAGAGCTGCGAGGCAGGAGTTCGGCTGCGCGCGCGGGAGGGGACGGCTGCCGGGACGGCA